TATATATATATATATATATATATATATATATATATATATATATATATATAATGATCCATATCAAGTTCCACAGCTGGAGTGCAAAGAATACAATAGTAATACTATGACAATTGCAAATCTCTCTAAATTAAAAACAAAGTCCCTAACTGTATCTTCAACATTGCCATCATCTGTGGAACAACATGCCATATCATTACTAATCTAGATGTGTGTAATTCAAGATATTAAACAACAATTCATAAACAAGATCTCATATAAACACCACATCGCTTCAAACATTATTGTCTCTGTGCTTTTTGTACATTAAGAATCACCGAAAAACCCTACAAATATTTAGTCTTTCTGAGCTCATAGAGGATGATACACCATGGTGTATGTTGATATCATGTTAATAGATGAGACAAGGTGTTAATAGTACTAACAATAACATGCTAATCAAATGGAGATATACTAGCAAGCAACAATTCAGACAGGTCAACTAGTCACTATGCCAATATTTGGTACATGGGATTGGAGTGGATAGTACCAAGGTCAAGCCTCAACCTTAATGCCAGAGCGAGGAAGTGGCATTTTTCAAGGCGTGACATAAGACAACAAATTTGTACGTAAGTTTTCTATATTATTTAATCAGATAATGATATCTATACACCTAATAAATAAGTAACTTGGGTGACACGTCTCATCTTCTGGTGAGTCGGTTATCTTATTTTCCCGCCTAAACATGTATCTGGACACAATTTACATAATGGTTCAATTGGACTCATTTGAATGAATCTAGACACAATTTACATCAACAGTTCAATTATATTAATTTAATTGACATGTGTCCTCTTATTCAATCAATCCTTACTAATTTAGGATGCAATTGATTTTATTTTTTGGTTAATTAATTCGTGTGGTAACTGATTCCCAAAAAAAATGGTGTTGACTTCTAAGTTTAAATTCAATTTACTGATATAGTTTCATTTCTAAATTCAATTTTATTCTAGGGTTAACTTCATTTTATTCTAAATTCAATTTACAAAAAAGTTTTACTTCAGAGTGTTATTTCAAGAGAACAAGTCCGAAGTCATTCTTCAGAGTTAGCTCACCCGAACTCTGAAGTTTGTTTTTTTAGACATAACTCACCTGTGAACTCTGGAGCCTGAACTCTGAAATCTTCTTTTTCAGACTTAGAAGTCTAAACTCTGAAGTCTTTTTTTAGACTTAGAAAAAGAAGTTTGAAGTCTTCTTTTTCAGACTTAGAAGTCTGAACTCAAAAGTCTTCTACAATTCTAAAGAGTACAAATCTGAAAAGTCATTCTTCAGAGTTAGCTCCCCCGAATTCTGAAGTCTTCTTTTTCAGACTTAGCTCATCCGAACTCCGAAGTCTGAACTCCTTTTTTTCAGACTTAGAAGTCCGAACTCTGATTTAATGTGATTGGTTTTATACTTGAGAGTTATTTCAAGAGTACAAGTCTGAAGAGTCATTCTTCAGCGTTTTATTTAAGAGTTATTCCAGAGTACAAGTCTGAAGAGTCATTCTTCAGAGTTAACTCACCCGAACTTTGTAGTCTTCTTTTCCAAACGAACACCATGCAGAGCCTCTGCATATTGCATGCAGAGCCTCTGCATATTGCATGCAGAGCCTCTGCATATTGCATGCAGAGCTTCTGGCTTGCTTATACAGAGCTCTGAAGTCTAAAGAGTTTTACTTCAGAGTAATTTCAAGAGTACAAGTCTTGTAATAAACTTATCTAGATTTTGAAGATAAGTCTTTAAGACTTAGACTTGGTCTTGTAAGTCAGAGCCCATCTGGTTGGTCTGGCTTCTGGATGTCTTTGCTTCTGGTTGTTTATTTGAACATTGGAAAAATATATTCCAATCCATCAGAAAGGAACCAGAGGGGCTCCGGTTGATCTTCATGTTTAACCAGAAGGTCTTTGGTTGTAATTGAAACTCAAACTCTTTAAGTATTTAACATTTTTTTTACCCAAAGACTCTGGATAAACGAACCAAAGGCTATGTTGACCAGAGGGCCTTTGGTTGGCCTTGCTTTTGGTTGGTGAGTCCACAGAGACTTTGGTCTTTAAGAACCAAAGGAGCTCTGGTTGGTCTGCTCTATATGATGCAAACTTTACCATAAGGTCTTTTTCAAAGATACTAGGTATTTAAATAACTATGAACTCAAGGTCTTCAGATTTCGTCTTCAGATTTGATACAGACGCTCTTCTAAGTTTAAATTCAATTTACTGATATAGTTTCATTTCTAAATTAAATTTTATTCTAGGGTTAACTTCATTTTAACTAATTATTGATATAATTTCATTTCTAAATTCAAGTCTGAAGAGTCATTCTTCAGAGTTATACTTCAGAGTTATTTCAATAATACAAGTCTGAAGTCATTCTTCAAAGTTTTACTTCAGAGTTATTTCAAGAGTACAAGTCTCAAGTCATTCTTCGGAGTTTTACTTCAGAGTTATTTCAAGAGTACAAGTCTGAAGTCATTCTTCAGAGTTTTATTTCAGAGTTATTTCAAGAGTACACATCTGAAGTCATTCTTCAGAGTTAGTTATTTCAAGAGTACAAGTATGAAGAGTCATTCTAAAGAGTTAACTCACCCGAACTCTGACGTCTGTTTTTTCAAACTTAGCTCACCCGAACTCTGGAATTTGAATTCTAAAGTCTTCTTTTTCAGACTAAGAAGTCTGAACTCTGAAGTCTTCTTTTAGACTTAGAAAAAGAAGTCTGAAGTCTTCTTTTTCAGACTTAGAAGCTTTAACTCTGAAGTCTTCTACAAGTCTGAAGAGTCATTTTTTAGAGTTAGCTCACCCGAATTCTGAAGTCTTTTTTTTAGACTTAGAAGTCTGAACTCTGATTTAGTGTGATTGATTTTATACTTCAGAGTTATTTCAAGAATACAAGTCTGAATAGTCATTCTTCAGAGTTCTACTTCAGAGTTCTATTTCAGAGTTATTTCCATTTTACAAGTCTGAAGAGTCATTGTTCAGAGTTAGCTCACCCGAATTCTGAAGTCTTCTTTTCCAGACGGAGCACCATGTAGAGCACCATGCAGAGCCTCTACATAGTGCATGCAGAGCTTCTGGCTTGCCTATACAGAGTCTAAAGTCTGAAGAGTTTTACTTCAGAGTTATTCTGAAGAGTCATTCTAAATTTACTTCTAAGTTTAAATTCAATTTACTGATATAGTTTCACTTATAAATTTAATTTAATTCTAGGGTTAACTTCATTTTAACTAATTATTGATATAGTTTAATTTCTAAATTCAAGTCTGAAGAGTCATTTTCAGAGCTATATTTCAAGAGTACAAGTCTAAACTAGCATCGTACTTTCGATGATCATTCATATTTGTAAGATAAGTTTTTGACATGATTTAATTTTGGGTTAAATGCATTAAATAGCAACTTATTTTCATAAATTTTCTTATCATAACATTATACTTTTGTTTTTCTTTATTACAACAATGTACTTTCAAATTATTATTTTTTATTAAGGGATCGTACTTTAAAAAATCTACCCATAATAGCAATGGCTAACCTGTTATCTTTTAAACCGGTTAACCCCTTGATTTTTTTATTTTTTTTGCTTGTGTGGCTTTAATGAGGTGATGTGGATGACACATCATTTTGATATTTAACTAAAATAAAAATAAAAACCTATTTTAAATTATTATTAGTGATTTTCATTGCTATGATTTAAAAAAACATTTATTTATTTTTGACTTTTTTTATTAAGTTGCATGCAAATTAAATATTCTAGAGTAAAATATTTCTTAAATAAATATGAAATATTATTTTCGAGATATATTTTGTTTGTAAAAAAAAAATAACACTTCTTATTTTATGTTGTTCAAATAAATACATATCTTTTAAAAAATTCTCTTTAAAATGTTAACGAAATAAATTGTGATTTATAATTTTTTAATATTGTTATATTAATAAATAATTCAAAAAAACCTAATTAATTTAATATATTTATACGTCAAGTAAAATTTTTTGAACAATATAATATATTATTTAAAAGATAATTTTTTGGTAAAAAAGAAACAATTCTTATTTTCTTTTTTTCAAAAAACACATATATTTTTTTAAATATTAGCGAGATAAGTTGTGTTCTACTAAATTTATTGATATTGGTATATTAATGAGTAATTTAAAATTTTTTAATTCATTTAATATATTTATTAAATAACATGTAAAATATCTAAATATTAAAATTAAAAATACAGTGTCTAATAAAAACTAGTAGATGCTATAATAAAATAATTTTGAAAGTACAATGTAATAAGAAAATCACATCGCTATAGTACATGTGGACATGCTCCATGGACAATGAGGTGACATGGAAACCTGGTATAATGAGTAAATTTAAATTAAAAGGTTACTCAATGCTATAATGTGTAAATTTTTTAAATTACAATGTCCTAATAAAAAATAGTTTGAAAATACATTGCTGTAATAAGAAAAACTAGAAGTACAATGCTATAATAAAGAAATTTATGAAAGTAGATTGCTATTTTGTGCGTTTTGTCCTTTAATTTTTTCAAATTATCACGTGTAATACCCGGGATCGAACCTAGTTAAAAATATATATTCATACTATGATAATAGAATCATATTGAATACTATTATAAAAGTAGTTTTTCATTAAATATTTAAAATAGAACTTATAAACTTCGTTTTAATCATGAGTCTATAACGTTTATGAATTCATGAAACCATGAGTGATTTGACTAGATAAATCTCTAATAGTGTAAAATCTAAACTTAAAAGTGTAAAAACACAAATGATAAAAAAAATAAAAAATATTTGTTTCTGAAAAAAAACCACGTCTTACAAAAAACGCACACCGTGGGGCCCCATGGCATGAGCCACACTTACATAATGCTATGGGCCATTTCGTAACGATGAAGATGCGTCTTGCGTCCTATTGCGCCATGGCACCCCTTTTTGAATAGAACAAAATTCACGGTTCTATGTTTGTTGCGACATGGGACATGGACACGAACCAGATGGGACAAAAAAGGCTCTTTTTGTTCCACCTATTTCTAAATAGGTGGAACAAGTGGGACATGGATGGGACAAAACTAAAAAGTTATCAATCTATCCTCGTTTGATATAAACCTAAATGGTATTTGCTTTAATGGTACCACTGCCCATTGCCGCCACCTGCGCCACCACCATTGCGGCGGTCCCTGCCAACCACCTCCATCATAATCACCACCTCACTACCATTGGTTACAATAGTCACATCCACCTCATCCACAACCATCATCGACCATCGGCCATCATCGGTGGCGACCTCCACTTCCACCGTCCATCACCACCACTGCCTTTACCTCCACCACTATCAGCACCACCACCTCCACTTCTTCCACCACAGTAACCACCATATAAAATCATTAAACAATATTTAGGGACAATTGTCAAGCCCAACCCTGTCCGGTCCTAATCATGCCAAATACTAGATCGACTTGTCATGTCCAGTCTAGTTCAGCCCCATCCGGTCTGTGTACCAAAAGCTACCTAAGGAACAAGTCAACTAAATAAAAGAAAATGAGTATTGGATTTTAAATGTGCATGTCAAAACAGACCACCATAAAGCAATATAATTGATACAAAAATTTAAGTAGGGGGGTTTTCATGAGTAACTATTACCTTTTTAAATATGCAGACTACCTCTTAACTAGAAATGTCCTTCCTGTTACCAGATAAATACATTGTGTCCCCATACGGTCTGTCAAGAAAGAATGAAAATGATATAATATATCAGTTAAAAAAATTCTCATATATATATATATATATATATATTGGAACAGTCGATGAACACTAGTGCAATATTTAAAAAACATATGGTAGTTTATGTTACAGGAGTTGTAATCCTAGTTGATGATGTATATACCTGTTTATCTTTATCCTTGCCTTGTCATGTTAACTGGCGATGTGTATATCTATATCAAGGAGTTTTCTCCATAATAAGACAATTTTCCCTGAATATATTTTATATCAACATGATATCAGAGCAGGAAGGTTCTCAATACAAACCCTGATCTACCCGCTATTTATACTGCAATGCACCACCACCATGAAACAAGATGCCACCCACAAAACCGTAACACCTAATAATCTTAAACCAAGAGTGCTGGAAGGTTCTCTGATCTGTTCTTTGGTCATGAGTTTTTCTGGACAAAAATCTACTGGCGGATAGATTTGGATTGTTTCTGGTTGTGAACTCTTGTGCACAACCCCAAGTCAGCTCTCTGGTGCAACTGTTGAAAGGCATGAACTTGGTTGATGATCTTTATTATTCTGATACTATGCTGGCAAGTATTATTTTTTGGCTGTTTGACCGATACAGTGTGTATTTTTTTTTTTAATATTTTGAACCCTAGTGTGAAAGTAAGGCTGATTTGATCAGATTTGACCACCTCAGGTGCACATATATTGCTCCATCTTGATTTGTTGGACAGCTCAATATGAGAAGCCTGACATTTGAGCTCCATTGATAGTTACAAAAATCATAAATCTTCATTTGAAGTGGGGAACACGCATTAAACATGGGGATTTATCAGGGATACTCATATGAGGCAGACATGTCCAGAGCTACAAAAAGATTCATCCGGAACAGTTAGTGGTGTATAAAGTGCTTCTGCCTTAAATAGATTCAGTGAGGAGAGATGAACTTGATTTAAAGTGTTTAGGGTCAGGGAACAAGTTGCTCCTTGGGCCTCTGTAATACAATCACGAAACTCTACTTATTTTTGGGCATCATCCTCACCTTGACTATGAAATCCACTGCCCCATATCAGATGAGAGCAAACAAAGAACACTATCCAGGGTTCCAGACTATCTTCTTGCTCTTCCGTATCTCCATGTTAGAATAGCCATTAGTTCAAATATTCCGCTAGGAGCCATTGATTCAGTAAAAATCGATTCTAAATTCAATCCTTCCAAGACCTTTTCATACCAACGTTCCCCGATAAAATGTTGCTCTTTTGTCTAATATAGGACTACAGATACCAAAGAAGGCAGACTTTTTTCTTTCGGCTAAGAAGCCCATAGGATAGGTTATCTACAAGTAAAATTACAAAAGATATGAGTTCCTCTAAAACGTTTTTCCCAAATCATTCTAACTTTCACAAACTTTGGACTTCCAAAGAGCATCTGTAGAAACCACACTAGGATTAAGTTTTTCGTCTTATCTCAATTGTGAGTGCTGCAAATGGGTAAGCACATTCATGCATTTCATCCATCAAAAGTACATCTAAGTCTATAGTTCTCCCTTTGAAATAATAGACAGTTGATTCAGGTCTATAGGTAGTTTTAGATTTTTTGTTATATTTTTTATGATTATTCTATAGTTACATATTTTATTTATTCAAATCTTGCACTGAATAAGTTCTATTTTTGTGAAACTTTGTTCATATGTTTAAAATCAATTTGAGGCTCCAACTAAAAACCTCCATTGTGACAAAACATAGCAGTATTATTCAAAAGGATTTATAGAATTTATGAATGTCGGTAATATTACATGGAACATCATATGCATACACTTCGCAGCAAAATGGAATTGTTAGAACAAAAAAATAGACATGTGTCAGATGTAGCATGCACCGTCAATTCATCAATAATGTCCCACATTGTTTTCGGGAAATGCTATTCTTATGGTGTCTTATCTTATAACTTGCACTCCCTCAATTGAATAAAAGGTCAAAATACTGTACCAAATTCTTTTTCATAACACACTTTTGTTTAACATTAGACCAAAGACTTTGATCTATTTGCTATGTCCACAACTTCAAGACGTATAAAATTGATATTAGGGAGCTAGATGCATGTTTGTTGGGTATTCTAGGCCTCAAAAAGATATCACTGTTATGACTCTTCTATTATACAACATTTTGTATCGGATGATGTCACTTTTGTGGAGTCTGGTTTCTACTTTCCTGTCTATGTCTATGTCCATGCTAGACATACCAAGTCATCCAATCCTAATGTATAGATAATCACAAGTTGATTTTCCAACACATAGGTCAAAGTACATAACTACAGCAGAACAATTATGTCCCTTATAGCTGCATGAGATTTTCTTTACCTAATGAACCCGAGACTTTCTTCCTGACAACCAAGGCAGCAAACTTCTGGGATCTTTTATAGCAAGATATTCATATTTCATTCAGCATCACAAGACAGAATGAACCGCTAAACCAGAGACTTCATCGTATTATATCCCTGTAATCCTAAAATGCATTTTCATCCAGAGAAGAATGCTTTGAAGAAGAAACTGATGATTCAGGAGTAAAACATTGCCTGAACCAGGGAGGGGCCTCTTTATTATCATGCTGGCTTGATATACTAGCTATGTTTGTTACCACTCAAAAAAGTAAAAAATAACTTGACTCGAGTTTAAACTTCTTGGCTGCAACTTCCTGTGTAACACATTCATGCAAGCACAAAAACATAAATATTGCAGTACATGTTTGATACTACTTTTGATGGATTACCAAGATATTATTTAGATATTTAATAACCAACTATGATAAAATGCTCAGAAATATAATTTCTACTAAAGGTTAGTCACATGTTTTAAAAAATAAAACACTTGCATATATTGTCTTGTAGTAGTCTAGTAGATAAATTCAGATTTCGATATGCAGAAACAACACCACACATTATATCTTGCAGAAGAATTACCTTGGATTTTTCACATGAAGCAACAGAAATATGAGGGCGATGAGTATGGATGAAGAGCCAACAAAAATGTAGGCCACCCCAAGGAAACTGTTCTTTCCTCCCAACCAACTTGATGTCGAGAGGACAAGCATTTTCGTTCCACCAAAACTGTAAGTGTTATAGTTGTTCATGAGGTGTACTATGATTAAATCATCTTCTTCTAGATCCTCTTCAATTCTGCCATATAATTTACGGAAACTTGGAAAAGCAGCAGTCCGCATCCACACAATAAGATCCTCTTGATCACTTAGCTGAATAATTCAATTTCAAATGACAACAGAGAGAGTGAGTGAAAACAAAAAAAGAGCAGGAGATACAAGGAATCTGTTTGAACAAAGTAAAAAAAAATCAAGCATAGACATAAATTCTGACTATCAGTTAAGAAGACCCTTAGTTCTTTGATCCTCAGCATTTCATGTGTGAGGTTAGACATGCACATAGAAGCATTAATCTACTTTTCATGCAAGTTGATGGGAATTGCAACATACAGAAAAAGAAGAGCACGAATTTGGTTATTCCAAAGTCATGTAGTACTCCCTATCCCTCAAAGAGTGCTGATTGTCAATGATCACAATGATCAAGGAAAATTACTTCATAACATACTTGAAGGTGTACAAAATACTTGGAACTTTTTCACCCATAACCGACACAAGTATCACATACCATACACTTGATTGATATATAAACAAAATCTGAAGAAAGACCATTATTAAAATATGCTAAGATGATTTTGAATGAAAGAAAAATAATTTTTTTAATTCTATGTAAATTATGAATAATAACAATGAAACTACTAAAAGTAGATTTTAAAAAAATATAACTAACGATTAGCGTAACATACACACCTTTATATATCAACTTAAATAACCTAAAAATGATGTGTTACATGCTTAGTATTGTTTAAATGGTTGGAATAGTGAAGTAAAGGTAGGAACACCTTAGAATAAGTTAATGTAAGATGTTAGAGTTGGTAGATGTCAAGAAAACAAAGTGTGGTACTCCATGGGCATAGATGTGCAAAGTATAGTGGCTATATAAGAAAGAATTTGCACAAATGTTTTTCTGAGATGAACTTTGGAAATTTGAGAGTTTGAGGTGAAAGTAGACTCGATAAGGAACGTGTAGGCGAAAAACTCATCGAAAACATAGGCCGAACGAAAAGTTATGAATGTTTTAAGTGTTTGGTGGTCAAAGTGGGTACCCAACCAGGTCAAACCCGACCCAACTGGGTTTTAGCGACCCTAAGTTAAAAAAAAAAACAAATTTGGCCCTATTTTCTTCTCCATTTCGTTTCTAAACTTCTGGAGACTTCAAGGGCAGCAAACATGGGTGTTTTTACGAGAAATTGGTGAAATTTTACAAGATTATTGAAGATTTCAAAGGTATACTTCCATTCTTAACTATGTTTTCAATTTGAGTTCAAGAAACCATGAAATTAGGGTTGCATGTTGAAGATTATAAGTTGAAACCTTGATATTATGTAGGATAGATGATAGATAACTTATTATCTTGTTGAAATCATGATTAAAATTCCAAGAATTAGTTATTTATACATGATATAGTTTGAAAAAGTTTGACTTTTGGTAGTCAATATTGTATGATGATGAAATAGGTGGATGTTTGGTAAATAATGGTGGATTCATGATGATTTCGTATAAGTTATGGTAATATAAAACTAATATATGAATTTCGTACAAAATGGTTTGGGATTTAACATGAAATTGTGAAAAATAGCTATTTTCGAGTTTGAAAGTCATGACACAGCTCTGTTTTAGACAAAAAGTATAAAATCATAGAAAAATCACAAAAAATATGAGGTCAGAGGCATTGGAAAGCTAGGATAGAGTACTAAAAATTGTCTTCTGAGGCTATTATGTGATTCTAAGGTTTTGTAGGGTAAAACAGGGTTTAAAACAGAGTTGTACAGGGGATTTTAAAGTGTATTTGTCAAATTGAAAAGTGTGTAGATAGTGTAAATGGTAATGTTTGCTTATGATACTTGGTATGTGTACTCCAGGGGTTATATAAATCACATTAGGAGCTTGTAATATTTTTTTTGCGCTATGGAAACTCGGAGTTGGATCGAGGCTTTCGGTTTGATCAACCGAATAGATTAAGCAACACTATGAGTTTATGTGGACATATGGGTGTACTTTGTGATTATGGATGCTTATTTGGTTTCTTGTTCATCCATGATTCATGTTAGTTCTTGAGTATCCCCTCGAATTGTCTTATTGCTTGTATTGTCTTGTGGTGTGTTTTGGGCGCCGATTGTCGACATCCCATGGATTCCGGTGACACAACCGGAGGGGCTGGTGTACTCATCGCCCAGTGGGAGTCAGGGGGTGAGTATAGGACTTTGGCATAATCCGGGAGATAAAAGGCGTATTTGGTGCCAAGTCCTATGTTTGTGTGTGAAGTTAATTGGTATTTGACCTTGCATGATCTTGAGCATGATGTTGATTGTCTTGATGTCTTTCTATGTTGAACATTCCTTTGTGATTCCCATGTTGAAAGTACGTTGCTGTAAATGACATCATGTGGTATAACTAAGTTGTTGTGTCGTTATGCAAACTTTCTTTCGAGTCCTTCTTCGTTTCCTAGTATGTACGTTTATATAACACATTGTAACCACATATTTCCACATGAATTCACTAAGCTTTATAGCTTACCTTTTAGTGGTTTTAACTTTTCAGGTCAAGTTGACAAAGGTAAGAACAAGGTCGGTTGATCGATTAGGGATTGACGTGTGAAGCCTACTTTTGGTATAGGTATATGTTATACTTTTGGGTTGTATATAGTTTGTATGTTCCGGGTAGACATGTCCCCGATGATTATGTTTTGTTTTGTTATGTAATTATTAAGCCTTAAATTATGTATTTTAGGTTGTAAATTGGCACCCGTATTTTGAGGTTTCTGAAACTAAATTAATTTAATGATGGTTCGGTAAGTGTTTGTTATGTAACCAAAGTGTTACAAATAATGGTATCAGAGAAAAAGTTTATGTGAACTAGGTATCAATAATGGTATCTGAACTTAAACTAGGTGTTGATGTTATATAGTAACTGGGCGATAATTTATACGGGATATGGACCATCAGGAAAGACACAGGTCGGGTAAGGGACCATAAATAGGATACTGTTTAATACTCTATATGTTTTAATACTCTAAACGTGCAAACCTTTTAGGACGATTGCTGATGGCGATACTGCTAGCCACACTCCAACAAACCCCGATGTTGGAGAAAATGATCCCGACCTCAACCTGAATGAGGATGATACACCCTTGTCTCCCCGTGGTGAACGATTAATGAAATGACTTACAACATTCGTTCAACAAACTTTTGAACAACATAAGCATGACACTAGAAAGGGTAAGGAGAGAGTTGGGGATCCCTCAAACCCCAACGCTAATACCTTCGAGAGATGTTGGATCTGTTGCGGAAGAAAAACTATATGCTATATTCTCAAAATGTGAATTTTGGCTTCGTCAGGTGCAATTCTTATGGGCTGTGATTTTTGGTGATGGCGTTTCTATGGAACCATCCAAGATTGAAGCTATACAGAAGTGGGTGCAACCCAAGAATGCTTCCAAAGTTCATAGTTTCCTTGGTCTAGCAGTTTATTACCGACGATTCATACGGGATTTCTCAAAGACTGTTGTACCGCTTACTTCACTTACCCGCAAAGATGTGAAGTTTGTATGGACTGAGGCTCAAGAGAATGCATTTCAGATATTTGAAGGATTGTTTGACTCATGCACCGATACTTGCCTTACTTGAGGGCAATGATGACTTTGTGGTATATAGTGATGCTTCTAAATTGGGTTTGGGATGTGTGTTGATGCAGTGGGGCAAAGTAATTGCATATGCCTCTCGACAGTTGAAAGAATACAAGAAGAATTACCCCACTCATGATCTTGAGTTGGTGCCCGGTGTGTTTGCTCTTAAGCTTTGGAGACATTATCTCTATGGCACGAAGTGCCAGTTGTTCACCGATCACAAGAGCTTGAAAATATATCTTCGACCAACAGACTATGAATATGAAACCGAATCTGGGTGCCGAGACTTGGGGGTTTGCGAGAGGTTATTCTAGAGGAAGCACACAAATCACGGTTACCTATTCATCCATTCATCCTGGACGTACGAAGATGTATCACGATTTGCGTACCGAATATTGGTGGCCATGTATGAAAGTTGATATTGGCCAATATGTTGAAAAGTGTGTTACTTGTCTACAAGTTGTAATATTCGGTTTTCAGATATGGTTGATCGGGTTGTAAGGTAATTGTTAATGGAAAGTTCGGGGTTAGAATTTGGTATTTGAAGGTTACAGAGGAATAAGTTTATAATTCTTCTCTTAGGTTATGAAAAGAATTATATCCTTTATGGTTACTTGTTTTTTTTTTTAAAGAAAAGATGGTTGCATGTGGGGGAGAGGTGTTGCTCATGCACCGCCCCCATCAAATGTGTTTCACCATACTTCCTATATATAGTGAGTATGTGTGATGGAGGAAAGGTTTTTACAATTTCCTCTCTTTGCATATTCATCTGGGTAAAATCTGGGAGATCATAGAAGCAGAAGTAGATATCAACTTAAGTTTTTGGCTAAGGTGAGTTCCATATTGCTTTGGATATATCTGGTTGTTATATTTTCACCGCATATATTGCTAAAATGTTAGCATATGTTGTTTGGATGGATTAAAATTGCATTTACTGCTACTGTTCTACTTCATCGCTCAATACATCTCCCAAGAAGAACTCTCATCGGACAAGGCTTGTCCGATAAGGTCCCTCATCGGATAAGGCAGTGACCGATGAGGCCACTTCATCGCACAAAAGGTCAGCGACTTAGGACCCTTCACTGAATATGTATTGTCCGGATAGGACCCCTCACCAATCAAAGCTTGATTGGATAGGTCCCCTCACCGATCAAAGCTTGTCCGGATAGGACCCCTCATCGATCAAGGTTGTCAGGATACAAATTGTTGTCCGATAACCCTTCACCGGACATAGGTTATCCGCTAACCCTTTACTGGACAGAGTGTTGTCCGATAAGATTAAAGTGTTGTCCGGTAACCTCCTCTCCGAACATAGTGTTGTCCGGATAGGACAAAGTGGTATAATAATCTCTTCAATAATTAAGTACTACCCGGTTGACTATTATTAGATGAAATAGCGGTGTAACCGCGATAGATGGATTGACAGGATTCTAAGGTATTAAATTAACGTTGAAATTCAGGTTTGAACTAT